TAATTGTCCTCCAGAGAAGTCATGTCCCGATCCTTGCGTGAGAGCGAGGGTATGAGCTTGTCCATGACCGCCAGAGAAATCTTGCCCGCCACCAGTTATAGGGACGAAGTTGTGACCTCCTCCAGAGTTCCCGTCGTACCCGGTGTGGTCTCCAGCTCCACTGCTTGAAAACTCGCTTGCTTCATATCCAGCCTTGCATGATGCAACTGCTAACGCCAAAATACACAACTGGAACGATAAAATAAATTCGGTAAGCAAAGGTTTAAGCACACTATCGTCGTTATTGCGAAAGAACTAACTTTCTTAAGGTCAGAATATCCAAAATAGTATTGGCAATAATATGAAGACTTTGTACTCCAATTTAAATTCTGATAATGATTCCGAGTTGCCAATTATCACAAAGTATAACAAGCAATCTAGTATTACTAAGTAATTACTATTAGGTAACTGTAACACTCGACAATCATCAAAGAAGTGCATCCAAGCTCAGCTCACATTCACTACGGACAACTTTCACTTTCCAACCGACCTTGTTTTCACACTTAGAATCAATTTCTTTCACTGTACGTATTAATAACTAGGCATCTTTACCTTAACGTTAAACGCAACGCAATTCTTTCCAATATTATATGAGACTAGCTTTTGCGCGCGACACCGTCCGCGTGGAATTAAAAAAAAAACAAAAGTGAGTAGCCTATGTGTTCTTCCAGAGTGTCCTCTAAGTCTAAAATTTCACCGAGATTCGTTCAGTCGTTTAGGCTACAAACTCTAACAAACATCTATCCATCCATCTATCTAAACTTTCGCATTAGTAAGTTTTTGTCACAAAAACTATGAAATTCCAACTGTAAACACTTATATAAAATCTGTTGATATGGTTAATTGTTATGATTTATACAAGTATTTTAACAATGTGAACCCACGCTTACTAACCACCTTAATGCAAACTATACTTGCCATTTTCGTGTCGAGTTCTTTAGCAATACACTGTTCAGATTTTAATTATTTGACCGCTGTTTACTTATATTATTAACTTAAATTTGCATATATGTTTTATTTTAAACATGTACTATAAGTACATTTGTTGTTCAAGTTGGCTTTAAGCCTACACATAGTGTTTCAATAACCACGATCTGTCGGCACTAGTTACGGTACAAAAGGGTTAACGTATGTATAACCTAAAATATATCTAAAACTCGATCTGTTGTAATCTATTTCTATCTATATAATAAAGCGTAAACACACACTTCTTTGTTGCCTAAGATCTCAGCAATTATAGCATGTTTTTAAATAATTCTTTTTGTAATAAAAAGCCCTACACTTACGTCACGCTTTAGGCTATACATTTTCACAATAAACTTAGAGGTAAATATTTTGGATAAAAACCCTAATGTGGGAAAGAGACCATAAGTTGCTGCCAACATCAAGAAAGCAAGATTGCTAAGGTTTGTCATGTTATATCATTTTGGTATTTGCTATTGATAACTTGACAAATGTAAACAATAAAATAAAATTTTCATAATTTCATTCGGATGCAGCCGCACGGGAACAGCTAGTATTGTATAATACTTGTAATAAAGTTGTGTCATTATAAGAAGCGATCGACATAACTCTGCGTTCAACAGACCGTGAAGCGGTCAGATTTATAAAACTATGTTTCACAAGAAACTTAGATTCGGTTAAGAAATATCAATTACAGCATTTACAATTTCATGTTATTTTGTATAAAATTTACCTATATGTATTGATAGAACTCAAAAACTACTGGGCTGATATCAAATTACTTCACCATTAAAAAGCTACGTTATCAACGAGTAACAGACTTTTTATTATTTGTTAATTTCTCGCGGGCTAAGTCGCGAGGAACAACTTGTATTAGATAAATATTAATGATATAAATAATTGAGGAACTTAGAATAATCTTACTAATACTGAAGATGCGAAAATTTAGATGAATAGGTGTAGGTAGGATGAATGTTTGTTAGAGCTTGTAGCCTAAACGGCTGAACCGATTTCGTTGAAATGGCATAGATGTAGAAGATAGTCTGGAAGAACACATAGGCTACTAATTTTTTTTAAATTCCACGCGGACGGAGTCGCGGGCGATAGCTAGTCTATAATAAAAGTTTTAAATTCCATGAACAAGACTTTAAAAATAAAAGATTCTTTTTTTAAAATAAATATAGCAAATGTTTTTCAAATAACAAAATTGACCAGCATTAATGGGCGTCTTCTTTCTAAAATAACTGCACTCCAATAATCTTAAAACAGGTGAAAGCATAAAGTGCTATTCACATTGCATTACATTACATAAAGTGTTTTTTAAAAACAAAATAAAAACATTGAAAGTTAATGAATACGGGAAGTGATCACAATTGAAGCTTGTGTTATGAATCTTTAGTGAGAGTGAATGTACCCTTTTACTCGGCAATCGAGACCGGTCCGTGCGTGATCGACACAACGTAGCAAATTTGTCAATTAACGTCTATACTAATGTTATGAATTGTATTTTTGGTTTTTTGTATTTATTAAAATAACTCAAAAACTACTGGACCGATTTCAAAAACTATTTCACCATTAAAAAGCTACGTTATCAGTGAGTAACATAGGCTATATTTTTTAAATTCACGAGGTCGAAGTCGCGAGCAATAACTAGTCTTATATAATGTTTAAAAATGCATTTAAAAAGCCAATCGTGATCTTAAACATATTTTAAACATATTAGTTATTGTTAAAATCTATCAGCCTTACAAATAATAAGTATAAAGTTTAAAGTTGCTTATACTTAGTTTATTCCTAAGTTGTAGGTCCTCTTGTTAAAATCTTTTTGCATAATCTTTAGGTATCCTTTTTTTGTCTTCGAAATGTAGATATAAAAATATATTTTGTAACAATTAAGACAATTCTAAGACACACACATTACTTTTGTTCATAATTAAACCAAACATAAAAACATATTTTAACCTCTACAAAATTTATTGTAACCACTGCTTTAGACGAGCCAAAGTTTTTGTGTAAACTCAGCTTTATGTTACATAATAAATAAACCTTTCCACGAATCAGTGTTGGTCGAAAGACTTATCGAAATTGAAGGAGCTAAATAAATGTCCTTTGATTTTATTTCAAAGATATAGACTGACAAGCACATCTGACCCGGTCAAGTCAAACTAAATTATTGCCGCTTTAAGTCACCTTGTTAATGACAAAAAATTATACATAATTTTTTATGTATTGGATGTCTGACGTCATTTATTGTTTCGTTTATGTAAAAAGATAGCATGGTAGAAGGAGAGAAGAACATTAGTTATGATTGCGGTATACCGGTAGAGGTAGACATAGAAAGAGATAGATTGCGTGAAAGGTGACATGATCAAGAAGGGAGTGATGACTGAAATGACGGATGATAGTTATGTGGAGGAAAAAAACCTGTGCTCATCCTATGGGGGTAAATAAGGGAAGGAAGACGTTAATGATGTCTTTTCTCTGTTTATTTTTACATACATTCTGACAAAACTAACCGCAATAGTATTACCCATCTCACTAGGCCAGATATATTTGTTTAACTATAATGAAATCTTCACAACTTCCCCTGACTAAAGTCAAGAAACCGAATCAGATTAGACCAGATTATAGCAAAAAATTGCTACTTGAATTTAATCGTTTCCACTTATTTTATCAACTCCAAGCAGACTTAATTCATTCATTGTATTACTTTTACATTGCGGTTTTTATCTAATTTTATTTTTGTCATAATTAATTGAAACAATTTGTTTATTATTGTAATTGTTTTCAAAACTATATTCTTTTCACGTGGCCTTCTAGATATTTTATCTCAAATATCAAATTAATTTTCTTTTAAAAAATCAATTAATTAATGGTACTTTTGGTTTTGGTACGAGAACGGGATGAAAGAACAAATTAAGAATCGATAAGAAAAGTAGATACATTTCTAAATTATCGATAACTTCCCCATCCCTAGAAAGTGATTGGAGGCAATCTATGAAATATGAGATTTAATTTGCGCATGACTGATTCTTCAGTCGACCGTCTGAAATCATATTATCGTCCTGAAAGAGATTTACCGGAGTTTTTTTCAGTCTATGTTATCACATAAAAGCAAGGAGATATTGCATAATGCTCTAAAAGCTTTACTTTCTCTTAGATTCGGAGAAATTCTAGATTAAGGAATTACTGGAAGTATTTCAAATAAATTGAAATTTTAGGATAAATAACAAACATGAAAGTATATCGTACCGACTTCTCTTCTCAAAAGAGATTTCAAGTAAAACAATAACATGCGAAATTTAAAAAGAATCATTCACGCGCACACCTTTGACCAGACAATCACACAACTGTTATATTGTTTCCTATGATCTTATATAGATATGCGTACACTACTCGATTTTTAGTAAAGTAACTAAACGGTTAAATTTGCCGCGAAACTGATCGATAATCGCACAACCGTTGTGCGATAGTTTAGTCAAAGCTGCTCTTAAAAAAGAGAATACGATAAGCTAATTAGTTAAATAAATGATATACTAGAAATAATCTCCGACATAAAATAAGCTCTTAGTGATCGCCTCAACGTTTGCAAATCCTCTTCGGTCATTAAACAGCTCTGGCTTGTTTATGACTAAATTCACAAGACGTTGTCTAGATAAATCATATGGACTCACCACACATGCGAAACAGTTACATATACGTTCAAACATCCATACATATAATATTATAATGCTACTACTACTACTACTAAAACATCCATACAAATTTCAAACATAAAAGTCTACCTATAATTTAACTAAATATTTCAAAAATGAGTTGGGGAGAGAATCACGAAATTCAGTTAAAAAAATAGATTTAAAATCTATATTAATTTGAAAATAAAACTGGCTAATTAGACGGTTTCAAACTCACTAATTAAACATAGATGGCGTTACTAGCGTGGATTTTTTATTTTTTTTTAATTGCAAAACCAGCGCTTGACCACTATCCCACCTAGACCAAGGTGAAGATGTGGTCGAAGGATGGTACGCGCTAGTTGAGTAAGTACCGATTCACACTACTCTTGAAGGCACCCACGTTATATTCTGTTTCTGATGACGATAGTAAAAATTTTATGACAAAAATCTATTTTTAAATTAATTAAGCGAATATGTGGAAAATTACTACAATAAAGGTGTAAAACATTCAGTAACTTGCGACCACAAAATTAAGATCAAAACTTTCATAGGAGTTCGGTATTATTAACAAACCACTTTAGAGATAAGAAGCTTATGTTGGCCAGTGGAGGAGAAACGGTAAGCTTAAGGTTTCTAAAAAGGTATTTACTCGTATATTAATAGTGTTTTCACCATAACTGAAATAGCACAATTTTCTAAATAACAAAGAAAGGCCTAGAAAGATATGGATGGATTGTGTAAAAGGTGACATGATCAAAAAGGGAGTGATGACTGAGATGACGTATGATAGAGTTATGTGGAGGACAAAAACCTATTGCGCCGACCCTACGGGAGTAGGATAAGGAGATGTTGATGATGATGAAACAAAATTTAATTTCCGCAGATATTTTGGAATTCCCTACAAAAATGTATAATTAAAAAGACCAAATGATATTAGAACTATGTCAATATTTGTACAAACTAAAAATGTAACAGAGGGTCTATCTCGAATATTAATGCGAACGTTGTCTTAACGACAAAATTTGTTTTAGTTTTGTGTAGCTCATATCTCGTACAAATTCCGTCGATGACGATACGATTACGTTCTCACAACCGTCACGTAAATATTGGTAATAACCCTCGATTCTTACACAACGAGACTAACGCCATCTGTTATTTATTTGTGAATAAGTTTTAACTTCCGATTTAGCCAGTACGAAATCAATTATTGGTTAACACTCCAAATTTTTTTACAAGTTTGTTCACTACACACTTTAGTTTCACTTTTCACTAAGAACTAGAATCTAGAACTTAAACTAAGTTACTTTTAAGTGATTATGAAATGTAACTTACAAAAGTCTTCATGTCGTATGCTTGGGAAGGCGGTGTATCGCCGCTCGGTAGGAAGCAATGCAATGATGCCTTTGCACAAACACGCTTACAATTTATAGTGACCGGAAGAGATTGTTAGTAAGGAACACGAGAAAGGCTTTGCTTTTCAGACATCTATAGAGTGGTTACAATGTTAGATAAGATATATTTTTTTTACAAATTTTGATTAACTTTTTTTCATGTGTATGTAAAGACCTAAGTATATTTGAATTTAATTTCATCGCTTTAATTACTTTACCTTTCACATTATACTTACAAGTAAATATTTATTTATTACACGATTAAAACCAAAAAATATCTTTCATTACTGAAATAAAATGGAATCACCTTTATCTATACTGTTATAATAAAGCGTAAACACACAATTCTTTGTTGCCTAAGATGTCAACAATCACATATTTTTGAACAATTCTTTTTTTTTTAAAAAAGTCCAACACTTACGTCAGGCTTTAGGTTATATATTTTCACGCCATTAAACTTAGGTGGTAAATATTTTGGATAAAAACCCTAATGTGGGAAAAATCCATAATGCTGCCAACATCAAGAAAGAAAGATTGCTAAGGTTTGTCATGTCATGATATTTTGACAATTGCTATTGATAATGTGACAAATGTAAACAATAAAATAAAATTTTCATAATTTCATGCGGATGAAGCAGCATGGAAACAGCTAGTACAGTTATAAAAAGTAACATCCTGTACTTACCTGGGAGTGGAAATCCGTCAAGCGTCAGTCCGGATCTGTAGGCTTTGCTAGGTTCACATAACCTAAGTATCATGTATCAATTAACTATCTCGAGAGAAAGAATAGATATAAAAAATATACACGAGGTAATCATAAACATCGTCTATTTAGAGATCTCCCTACATTTAGGTCAAAAATAAAAACTCAGGCGACTTAAAGGCTAGTGAAATTCTTATTAAACACTCTAAAAATTACTAAGAGACCCCAAAATTTTAGGGATCGTTGATGAAATGGCTATAACACATTTTTCACGAACTTAACTGATGTCTGTAGGTAAACACCACGGACCTCAATTGAAACATTCCTGACGGTTTCAGGTGCTCTCGACACGAGTACCATCATTGTTAAATATAACGCCGGCGTCCAGAAACACGCTGTTTATTAATAGTACCTAAACATTTGTAATAATAAAATACAGCCTATGTTACTCACAGATAAATTACCTTTCTGATCGTGAAAGAATTTTTAAAATCGGCCAAGTAGTTTTTGAGTTATTTCAATACGTACAAAAATACAAATCTTTCCTCTTTATAATTTAGTACATAGATATAGATTTCATCTATCTGACGGAATAAGTCATTCTGCCTTCATTTGTTTTAATTAGACATAACTACAAAGATATCGTTATCTCAGATTTCTTCTAGTAAAATGAAAGAGATGACAACATGTAACAAGTGCTTTTGTACTAGAAGTCCTCAGTAAAACAATAGACAATACAAACTGTGCAAATTAGATTAAAGAAAAGACTTCGACATTACAAACATTGTCCTTTATCATTGTTTTTTTAAAGTCAAATTCATCTTTAAGTGTACAGTAGTGAACGGTATTCAACAATTGTATCACAAAATTGTACTTTCGACTTTCAAAGAGCGGGCGCACACCTTTGAGTAAACTATAGCCAACAGTTTGGTCGCGCTTTGATTCTCGTGAGCTTATGTGCGATTTTTAGTTGTGCAACAAAACAATTGAATTGGCTGCGAAACAATCGACAATCCCACATCAGTTGTGCGATTGTTAAGTCAAAGATGTGCACCCGCTCTAAGTAAACACTTAAGGTACTATTCCACTGAATTTGGTTATGTTCGGTTAAGCCGTTTTCAATTTAATGTTGTTATCAATCAGGTTAATTGCGGTTTAATATGATTTTGGTAATACACCTAAACACACTGTTAATTTTGATTTGTAATTAATCACCGATTATCTGACGATCGAGTGATAATCGAGTTTCCCTGATACTAGTAATTTACAGTTGGACAAAGTTATTTGACCAGGTGAGCTTAAGGCAAACTAGCGCAACTATCAATGTCAAGAAAGAGTCACAATTTTGTTGTCGTATTAAGACTGAGTTGAAGAAGTTATCATTTATTTTTTTCACAAGCTTTTACCCGCGACTCCGCGCGCATGTATAAAAAGCAAGTACAAGATTTGTATTTTTGTATGCATTGAAATAACTCAAAAACTAATAGGACAATTTTAAAAATTCTTTCACCGTTAGAAAGGTAATTTATCTTTGAGTAACATAGGCTATGTCTTTTATTATTATTTTGATTTCACGAGGACGAAGTCGCGAACAACAGCCAGTAGGGAAATTAAAAAAAAAACAATATAAAGTATACAAGCTATTTTCAGCTTCCACTTGCTTTGTCAGGTATCCTTCGATATAGGACTCCTCTAGATTATTTTATAATTACATGTCCCTAGCTTCTTTTCCATCCCTTCGGTAGTCATTGTCCCATCTCTTTATTTCAATTTTGAATTTTATTGCACATTTAGTGAAATTACGGCTCGATAATTATTTTAGTACCTGGTAAGTCTGTTCGTTTTTAAACAAAAGTTATTTATTTAGAGTGTTATTTATTAGAAGCTCTAAAAGCCTTTTTTCTATTCTTCGTTCAGATATAATTCATTAAACATCTACATTGCAAGAAAATTACAACTTCGTATCGAAAAGCCTCGACTTTCATATAAATTACGATTTCAATTAATAAGCAAGTCCAAAGTTCGTACTGTTTTATCAAAACAGTAACGGTTGGAACTTAAACTTAAGGGTGCTTACACATTAGTTAAGTAATTAACACTTTAACTTAGTCCAATGTTCGGCAATGGTCACTTGAGAGTCGAGAACTTAAGTTGCCATTTACCGCTTGATTATACTTCTAAACATTCCACCACTTAAACTCCTCATGAGGTCATTTTATTATCTATACTATTATAATAAAGCGTAAACACACACTTCTTTGTTGCCAAAGTCAGCAATTACTGCATATTTTTGTATAATTTTTTTTTTATATAAATCCCTACACTTAGGTCACGCTTTAGGCTATATATTTTCACGTCATTAAACTTAGGGGGTAAAGACTATGGATAAAACCCCCAATGTGAGAAAGAGATCGTAAGTTGCTGCCAACACCAAGGAAGCAAGATTGCCAAGGTTTGTAATGTCATTTTGACATTTGCTATTGATAATTTGACGTAAACTATAAAATAAAATTTGTATAATTTATTGCGGGTGAAGTCGCATGGGAACAGCTAGTGTGTGATAAATATCGACGGCCAGATCCTAATACTGAAACGAATTTCAAACATTTCGTTTCGTAATTACCACCCACAATCTGTATGACATGACACAAGTTGTACAGATGTATATATATATTAGCTCTTCATTTTTTAGAGAAACATCCAGAAATAAAACTTAATACCACAGTGTATAAGAATCCTTAAAGTTTGGTTGTATAATGAATATAAATAAGCATTCGAGCACAAAGGGCCTTGATAACTCCGTCGGTCAAATTTACATTTGCCACGGTCTTAATAAATTACCATTTTCAGTTCATGCGGCAGCGACTGCCGTCTGTTTATTTACAACTCCAATGAAGACTTTTGTACATTGAACTGTAAATAGTTGGCTTCTATTTATTATTAATTAAAATAAATATCATTAAAAAGCATTCGGAACCTCAAGACCTCGTTATTCAATGAACCTTTCTATTTGTCTCTTCCTGTTGGATTTTCTCTTATTTCCATTTCTCAGACTAACCAATATCTCCCTGTCTTCATTTTAGCGTGGACGAAACAACTGGTATTATTATTTTATACTAGCTGTTCATCGCGACTGATTCCGCGTGAAATTAAAAAATGTAGCCTGTGTTCCTTACAGATAAATGACCTTTTTAGTAGTGAAAGAATTTTTAAAATCGACCCAGTAGTTTTTACGTGAATCGAATATATAAAAATACCAATCTTTCCTCTTTATAATATTAGAATAGACTATAATTATTTACGTTTTAATACAACAGTTTTTAAACTGAACTTCAGATCTACATTTCCGTATGGTTAGTAATTAAGTTATACTAAGTTAAACTTCCTAGTCAAAGTTAAATGCAACTGTTACAGTTTCCTAGTCGGGTCGACGACCGGACGATCTCCGAGTTAATCCGCAAACCGTGCGGTCACGTACTAACACATTGTCTAGGAAAAAAATACTCACGACCGCGTTATGTCAGCGCTGGTCAGAATTACTAAATAATAGTGTTTAAAGTCGATTTTTAGCAGATTTCAATTTGTATGGTTAACTGTATTCTAGTGAAACCGATCTGTTACATTATCTTAATATAAAGATGAAATATTTGATTGTTTATTAGCAACAACCTTTGCCCGCGACTCCGTCCGCGTGGAATTAAAAAAAAAACAAAAGTTAGTATGTGTTCTTCCAGACTGTCCTCTACCTCTACACCAAATTTCATCGAGATCCGTTCAGCCGTTTAGGCTACAAACTCTAACAAACATCCATCCATCCATCTAAACTTCCGCATTTATAACATTAAGTAAGATTCCAAAACTACTGAGCAGATTTTAAAAAATCTTTCGCCATTAGAAATCTATAATACAATCACACTTAGTAACATCTTTCTTACTATTAGTATAATTGCAAGAGTTTGGATGAATGGATGTTTATTAGAGTTTACCGCTTAAACGGCTGAATGGATCTCGATAAAATTTGTCATAGATGTAGAGCAAAGTTTAGAAGAACACATAGGCAATTTTTTTTTAGTAACACGCGGAAGGAGTCACGGACGAAAGCTAATAAGCTTATGAAATACACGATAGGAAAGATATGCGACGAAAATTTTTAAGTTAAGCTAGAGCGGAAATCAAGGTTAAATGTTCCTCTGAATTCACTGTCATGTTAATTTAAATTACTTCTGTAATAAATGTAAAGTACTATTGCACAGGGTTTTAAATTGAGAACGAAACTCAAATGCAATTTCCTACTTTTTTTTTTTTTGTGACTGAATGGCCACTGTTTGCCTTGAAGAGGCATTTACAGATTCACCGGGCTTGAGGTGGCCGAGCGCAGATGGCGCTTAGCCTAAACCTCGTTTATGAGTAACTAAGCTCGAGGGCTCCCTCAGGAGCCTCGGCTCGGGCCGTTACTTCGTTAATATTACCGGATTGGGAGGCCACCGAGCTCTTAGATATTGGGAGATATTAGATATTACGACCACATCTTCATATTAATCTAGGTGGGATCGTAGTCAAGCGCTGGTTTATCTATACTCAGGTAATAAAGCGTAAACACACACTACTTCGTGGCGTAGGATGTTAGCAATAACAGCATATATTTGAATAATTCTTTCTTTAATTAAAAGCCTTACATTTACGACACGGTTTAGGCTATATATTTTTAGGCTATCTATCTATCAACTTAGGCGGTAAATAAAATAGAAAAAACCTTAATGTGAAAAAAGGACCATAAAATACAAGCTGCCAACATTAAGAAAGCAAGGTTCTTCTTTTTTTAATGATTAGTGGACCCCATCGTTATTTCAAAGATTTCGCCATTGTCAAGGTTGAAGATAGTTGATAGTATAAAAAAACAAGATTAAAATTTAATTAAAGGGTTATTTATATTGTGGCGAACAGAGGTGTCCGCCTTTTACTTTCCTACCTTACACTATAAAAATATATCTTCATAATTTGTTGATCGCAGTCACTTCCAACTTCCATTACTGTTACGAAATGTTATGAACATGACATTACTATAGTAAGAACATAATATTGTTTTTATGGATATTACATCATTGTTTACAAACCGATTCTGATGTCCGGTTATTTTGTAACCTCTGAGCACTTTAATATTCTAGTAAACATATATAGGTGATTGTTTTTATATGGTACATCTTTGAATAAACTATCGTACAACTGTTTAGTCGCACTTAATTCCTATAAGCTTATATGGAGGTGCGCACACTACTCGATTTTTAGTTGTGCAACTAAACTGCTGAATGGGCGAAATAATCGATAATCGCACAACTATTGTGGGATAGTCAAAGACGTGCGTCCGCTCAACCCTCCTTTGACAATCAAGTCCCCAAATAGCATAGAAATAATAGTAGACAAATACATCAGTTCATAACCTTTCGTTATGTGTAGGTCATTGCGTTAGTATATAGGTTCGGGTCACATTTAAACTGATGATTAAATATAGCTTATGTTACTCACAGATAAATTACCTTTCTGACAGTGAAAAAATTATTAAAATCGGCCCGGTTTTTTTTTGAGTTACGTCAATACATACGAAAATACAAATCTTTCCCCTTTTTGTATTACATTCGAGATAAACAACACTTTTAAATTGAGCATTACATCATTAAGTATTAAATCTGGTCTTAATGGACACCTTAGGATATAATTATCTGGATAATGAATCTACAATCACCGTATTACATTTCTTTCATAATTAAACCTTTCAATAAACTTCCTTCCGTGTTTGTTTCTATACAGCTAACAGGAATTGCAAGTGAAAGGATAGGCTACATGTAACTTACGAGAACTCTCAACTTAAATTCCAATGTAAATACAATAAAAATCATGATAGATTTTCAAATTAGTGTCCGAGCGTAACTGGTTTATCAAAAACCGAAACCGAAGTTCGAAACCAAACTTCTGAACACAAATTTAGAGCGTGCGCACACTTGAAACTAAACTATCGAGCAATTGTTTAGTCTCGCTTTGATTTCTTTAAACTTATATGGAGTTGCGATTACTCGATTTTTAGTTTTGCACCAAAATAGTTGAATTGGCTGCGAAACAATCGACAAGCGCACAACAGTTTTCCGCCGCTCTTTAGATTACGATTATGTATTGAAGTTTAGTGGGTGTTTAACAAATTATTGTATTTCGTATAATAAGTGTAAAAAATCGGATTTTTGATTAAAAATGACCCGCGACGAGACAAGAAAAAACAAAAAACAACCTTATTGTTAGCATAACAATTAAAACTTGACAAGCTTCTTTTAAAAATTTCTTCAACTTTAAAAGATGTTCTCAACTGTGTTCACTCAACTGTAAAGTGTTATGTAAATTGCTTAAAATTTAAGTTACGTTTAAGTAACAAGTTACATAGTTCTGTAATTCAATGGCATCACTTAATAGTACAATTATTAGACCGTGACTTACGTCTAGTTTTGTACAAAAATGTAATAAGAACACTTTTCAAGTGACATACTATTACGAATTTTATTTTTCCTGTTTAAATGAACAATTTGTTCTAAGTTAAGTCTATGTTATCTACTTTTTATAATTTTAATTATTAAATCTATCTTTGCATTACACTTTTGTTAACAACATATAAAACAACGCCATCTATCGTATCAAAATTATATTAGACGAGCTAGTTCAAAACAATCATTTCAATTTATACAAGTACTACCGAAATATGTGGTCCTATTAAACGTGAATTAAATACACAAGGACACATTATATCAGAGACTGTATTGAATGCAAGAATCCGAAACCATCCAATCGCGCTAACGAAACATCCCTAACGAGTATCTATTATTTTTAACTGTGGTACTCATGTCGGAATAATAAACAAAACTTTAATTCTATGTTTCAGAAGTAATTTAAAATTATCGGGTTCAGTATAAACGCATAAAATAAATCCTTCATCCCACTTGTAAAAGTTATTTTCCATAGTTGATAAACATTCTTTAAAATTGTTTAAGAGGTTATAAATTTTGTTCAGAAGTTAATCAATTTATGGATAATTTTAAGTAACATGATTTTCAATATAAACATTGGATACTAATTTTAAAATTATAACGGAAAATGTTTTACAGCACTCAGATAAATTAAATTTAAGAGCCATCTCTTGCTATCACTTTAAACCTTTCTTTTAACTTATCGCCTTTCTTTTCTCATACCTAGATGGCGTACTAATCTTACGTTTTCTATAGTTTCAGTATTAGCCGATAGATGGCATTTAAAGATAACCATTTTTGATTTTATTACCATTATTGCTCATGGTAAAATTGTTAGATTAACCCATTAGTTAACCGAGAAACTTTTTCAATTAATTGTACAAGTAGTCCTGCTACCTATAAAGGGTAAACTTGGGCATCATGTAACAACTTTTAGCAAGCGTATTGGTCTTGGGAATGTGGTCTTAATTTGTTGAGTGCTTTGGGTTTGTTAATTATTACTAAGTGCTTTTAGTACGCTTAATGTATTACTCTTTAATAATCATTTAATGTATTATTTTAAATAAAAATCCGTTTTCCAGTCTTCAGTTTTTCTGAATTCAAACCATAATTGTTGATATTTTTTACATCAGAGTTAAGTTCGTTCATTGCAATACTACGAGGTTTACGAGCGATTTTAGAATATTTGTAGTATTCAGGATATCTAAAACAAAAAATAGGAATAGTGTTAAAACCTTACACATAAAAAAACCGTAAACAGTTGAATATAGAAAGTTTCCGAAGAAAACAGTTGAACATAGAGATAAAAAAAAATCTGTTAGTTTCTAAAAATTGTGATAAAAAATACATTACAATGCCGATGAAAACACTTAGCTAAGAATAATTAAAACTTACTTGTCTTTATATCCCGGTGGCATAGATACTTGAGCGCAAACAACACAAGCTAAAGCGAAGAGAATGAACACAACTTGTGAATCCATCGCACGGAATGCGGGAAAGAACTCCTATAATACTTTGTAAGTCTGTTAATGGTTTCTGCACGTATTCCGTTTTTATACTGGTCTGGTTCCTTTGACGGTGAATCCCCCAGATCGAGTCATGTGAACGCGTTTCTTTTTCCTTTTAACTCTATTGCTTTTAGATACGTAATTAAAACATATATCTCGTACGTAGATAAGAGATGAAGGGCCTGTCCCACCACTGACTGATAGAGGCTCAGATAGCTTCGACGTGAGAAATTCAATGACCTCCAAATACAGAAACAAAACTAATAATTTGTTTATTTTTTTAATAATTGTTATATTGGAAAATACACAAATACTGTTAGATCAGGAAATAAACCTTATAAAAATTGATAACAGTCTTCAAAATCTACCTTTATTTTACAATTTTAATAAAATCACTACAAATATGAACATATTATTTGTGAATCTATGAAATTGCCATACATTTGTGTAGGCATTGAATTAGAATCTGAATTAGAATCAGACAACGCCCACGTATTGCGAGCTTAGCTCTGTAACGTCCAGGACTCAAATAAACTTGATTATTAGTATCTATCCAAAGTTATGTTCGAAGGTAGCACCCACACCGTAGTCGGGTTTGCCGCGACCGATGTCAGTATTGAGAGTACCGCCAGCAGAGAAGCGAGTGTTTTTGTCAACGTTCCATACTTTAGATAATGCTGCATCGACCTGAAATAAAAAAATGACTATAAAAATGTATTCTTCAAAAACTACAAATTAAATTAAAACTGGTAAAATCAGAGGTCATTATGGAAACATTTGTAAGCTGCCAAAGTTTTAAATTTCGAGCAAATTGCTTTTTGATTTACGCTACATATTCATGTATCTAATTTCGTTTTTGTTCCAACCCCTACAACTTACGTTAGTGTGTCCGTGTATCTGTTTAGTTATTTCTATGGCAGCATTGGCATCCTTATTGACATTATTCCAGTTGAGTTTACCGCCAAGCAAGCTGCTATCCCCAGTCGCACCCAACACTCTTGTACCGTATGCCTGTCCTTGCAACTTTCCCCTGTTGTCATTAAAAATGTCCTGTTTGTAGCCACCTTTACCCTGGAAATTGAACGTCGTTACATAATAAGAACATCTATCAGATGATGTGTTTATAAAGTTTATATGGCAAAACTTACGAATAATCCTTGATCGTTGTTGCCAAGAGTTCCGAATACAGTGCCTTTACCAACTTGCTTATCCCATGTCACATCGCGTCTTTGTCTCTGTTCTCTAAAATTGATTCCAATGAGTAATCATATTAACAAGTGATTTAAGATATACCGATATTGGAAACTATCGATAGAGAATCCGAAATTCGTTTAGTTACATACTCCATGGTGAATATAGACTTGTAAGGATCTTATGGCACTTTTTCGACATTGACTGGGGCGCTTGGTAGATTTTAGAGTTACCAGAAAGCAAAAAATTCCCACCTTCTATCGAAGTTCTCTCATGTTGAAAATTAAACAAAAGAACATGCTACTTTTTTTTAAATCCAATTTCTAAGGGCCTGTCCCACGTGTAAAACGTGATGGAAATATCGGATTTTGTTATCTTATCTGACAGTGACGTCATTTCTAAGCTTCCTGAGCTTCTATCAGTCAGTAGTGGGCGCTAAATTATCAAAATTACAGTATTTGTACAGTTGCCGCTCCCTCATCAGTTAAATTTTGTCGCTTTAAAAATGACACTGTTCCCGTAATTGCCAAGTGCCATATGATCCTTGTAGGTCGGAATCGAACTTAATTTTTACTTCATTAAAATAGATGGCGTTGTTTTACTTACCTAGAATTTGATATGTCATCTATAGACCTTGATGTTACAACTTGTATGCAAACCAAAATGGCTAAACATAAATAGGCTGAGGATTGTGAATACATTGCGTTTGTATTTTGGGCTGTAAAAGATATTATAATACGATAAATTGACATTTTGAGCATATTTATAAGGCCAAATTATAATGGTTATGATTAAGTAACGATCCGCCCCAATTTTACCTTAGTGGCAAAGAATATATTTTTATAAACATATTATCTTTTCTGACACAACCATACCCTTACCGTTTACATCCCATTTAAATAGCTTATCTATACTATTATAAAAAAGCGTAAACACACACTTCTTTGTTGCCTAAGATGTCAGCAATCACAGCAAATTTTCGAATAACTCTATTTTTAATAAAAAGCCCTACACTTACGTCACGCTTTTGACTATATATTTTCACGCCGTTAAACTTAGGGGTAAATATTTTGGATAAAAACCCTAATGTGGGAAAGAGACCATAAGTTGTTGCCAACATCAAGGAAGAAGAAGAAGAAGTTTCCATGGTTTAACATCATGTCATGTCATTTTGATATTTGCAATTAATAATAATTTGACAAATGTGAACAATAATTTTTTTTTTATAATTTTATGCGGATGAAGTCGCACGGGAACAGCTAGAAGCTTATAATAATAGTCATGTATGTAGCTTTCTAACTGGTTATTGTTATAAATACACGATTGTTTCGTTGAAATCAGTTACAAAAGTATTTATGATTTAAATTATGTTTTTAATTTTATATTTACCTGTAATGTTAGCTGCAAAACTGTTGATTGTAGTATGGAGAAAGGTTACCATTGTATGCATTTATATATTCAACTCTCCCCGTATTCTATCAGGGGAATAACATTCAACTGGTTACCGGGACTTTACATGAGCGGTACAATTTTCCTTAACGAGAATTTCAGTTTTTTTAAATTATTATCCTTAAACTTTTTGATTTAACACTTTTTTCGTTTGAAAAGATGCGGGCGTTGACCTGAATTAGTGAATCAATTGATGACGTAAGCTGATGAAGTGAATTAACTACATCTACAGTCGGTAAGTACCATTATAAAAACGAGAATAAAAAGCGTCAACCCGAGTATCAGACGTTTGTTTTCTTCTACTATATTTGCTTATTAATGACTTGCTCGCAACTTCGTCCATGTGAAATAAAAAAATATAGCCTTTGTTACTCAATGATAACATAACTTGTAAACGGTGAAAGAATTTTTGAAATCGGCCAAATAGTATTTGAGTTATTTCAATGCAAAAAAAAACAAATCTTTTCTCTTTATTATGTTGGTAAAGACATAGATGTCTTACCAGTTCATCTAAAATAAATGCATATGAAGAACATTCTCGTAGGCACTTGTCATTACTTCCTTTCTTACGAGTATAACGTTTTATGTCAAGGTTAATTTTCTGAACATTAGCGAACGTGCATAAAATTCTTGATATATTACGGAAAAATTTTAATCCAACTTTCTTTATGCATATAAGATGTAATATAACAAAAGCGGTAGACTGAAGTGGCAATGGGCCGGTCACATTTGTCGGGCCAGCGACGCCAGGTGGGAGAGGTAAGTCCTCGAATGGAGGCCGCGAAAGGGGACCAGGAGCGTAGGGCGTCCCCACCCAGGTGGACAGGCGACTTAGGGTGGACGGCGGGAAGACGTTGGATGCGGAAGGCGTAGGACCGCAATCTGTGGAAGATATTGGGGAAGGCCTATGCCCAACAGTGGGCAGATAAAGGCTGATGATGATAAAAAAAACATACAACAGAATTGAGTTCTTTTGGTACGTCTGTCAAAAAATTACAATAATCCCTAGGACAGAATTGTCGTCTTGGTTTAGCTATACTTGGTTATACTTGGTAAAATAAACTTAAGTTATTCCTTGCTAACCTATTTCGCGCAATCAGTTAAATAGGTTAGTTACGTCACAATCGTGAATTCGTCGTTTACACTGTACATTAGGTCATTAAGATACGGCAGTTTGCAGATTCACGTTAGGGCATGTACACACTATGCGCTAGTACAGACAATGACATGCATAGTTAGGACATGCTTGTATACAAAAGCATTTCAGTTTTAAGATATATGATTATTGCATTTGGATACACTATATGTGGCATATATCTATATCTATACAAATATTATAAAGCGGAAAGATTTGTATTTTTGTTGTAAAATAACTTAAAAACTACTGGGCTGAATTCAAAAATTCTTTCACTATTACAAAGCTCCATTATCGCTGAGGAATATAGGCTACATTTACAAATTACACGTGGACGAAGTCGCGAGAAACTGCTAGTTGTTTATAAATACCTTACCGAAATAACAAGTTTCAATTGTTTTCTAATACAACTAAGGATGTACTATACAGAACATTAAAAAACATTAGTACTATATTCGAGTTCGTAATTTCTATACGTACGTTCAAATTTTACAGAAGTACAACCATAATTTCAAGTCCACGTAAGAACGTATTCTATGCGAATGTATACCACTTGGATGCATGTAAGGGTATGTTCACACTATGCGATGGCACGGAAGCAAGTTGCAGTTGCACGTTAGGCTGTGTACATAGTATGCGGGGGCACGGATGTGGCAGTATTTGCCGGGGCTGGATAAACAGCGCGACATGCGGGAAGCGCATAGCGCCGGATTTGGAGTGGCGCTCTTTCGATGTTTATCGGTGTAGCGATAGCATAACAATTGAACTCGGTTTTTGTCAAGCGTATGATTCTGGCTTTGTTTGTCACCGATGGCAGATAATAACTAAGGTATCGTCAGCACCAATTACAATCTGAAAAACGGTCATTGTTTTAATTGAATATCGAATTCATTTTTGTCCTTGTAAAATGTCAGGCCTAACAAAATTTGTAGAAAACACTGTTATAATAACTTACAATAAATATAGTCGTATCCATAAGTGATTTAATTATTAAGTTACTGAATATAAAAAAGAGAATTAAGTAGATATTTTAAATAAAATAGACATTTGAACATTAACACCGACAAAATAAATTCACCATTAAATATTCATTATAATTTTTACTGACCGTACTAAAAGCGTTCTCAAACAGTTCGACTGGTATTTTTTGTACAAAAACATACGCGGTGTTTACTATGTAATCACCTAGTCTATCGTATTTGTATATGTTGAATACCGCTAAAATATAGCAAATACTATCGGTTAGATAGTTCATATGTTATTCCATCATTATGCTACTGTTAGCTTTTTAACTATTTTGATGTATTCTGTATTCTTGAAGGTTATTTAGTCTGTGCTATAAATCAATACCATTTATCTTTATTTAAAATAACAATATAGACTTTGTAATTATGATTCAACACATTATTAAAATATTTATGTCATGGCTTTAAAATGTCGGAATTCTACTTGTTATGTTAATATTCGGACAGTAGTTAGATGTCAAAATAAGGATGTTGCATTGGCTCGACGACACGACGGCCATATTGGTAGTGGTGAGCGTGAATACATGGAAAAACGGTGTTATTGGTAAGGTTATTCTGTGCAAATTGGAAGAAAACATAAGAGGTAAAGAAGACTATATTTTATTAAAGCATAACATGGCTGTGATGCCCATACTATCTTTGTCCCTACAGAAACGTCAGCATACCTGTTCTAATCTTCCATACATCTCTACCAGCCGTCATATCTAAACTCACTTTCTTGTTACGTTTATACTCTTTCACACAATCTATTCGCACTTTCCGACTTCTCCGTAGCCTAATATCATTACATTTACATTATCTGTATTAACGAAAATAACACTAGAAATCACAGAAAGACATTCTATACCTGAAACTCCCTTAACACGTTAATTATCATCAGCACAATATGAATCCCCACTTACGGGTTCGGAGACTGCCCTAAGTTGGTAGGGAATTAAAAATTGTGAATCACAAATAACATGGATATATTCCAGAGGTTCCCAACCTTGTGCTCGAACGATTCGTATGTGCTCGCCACTATTCGACATAGACTGATTTTTTTTCTTAAAAATTGGCCATTAATATGCAATGCCGAAGATCTAAAAGTGTATGAAATTTGAATATTATTTTTGTTGATTATTATTTATTAATAAATTATGGATATGAGAAAAGAAATCGCGAGAAAATTGGAATTTATTTAGACGTTGGACGATTAAAAATAGGTCGTGCCCGCCTCTCGATCGACATTTTAAAATGTGGTCTAGAGTACAAAAAGTAGGGAACCACTGGTATATACCCTTTATTGACTACTATAAATTCCATTTAAATTATTATAGAATCTAATAATCCTAATGCATATTATGTATATGAAGGCATATGTGCATAACCTAAATCCATGCATTTTGGGAAATGGACCCGCACCGGACATGTAACATGCTTCAATCACAGAGCACACTCCAGAGAGCTGTATTTACTCTGTATATAATGTGCACGTATCCATTGTAACTCACGTCACATTTGTATAACGGACGAACAAAACGATACGGACAATAGATAATTGACTCTCTCTCTCTTCCTCTTTCTCTGTTTTTTTTTTTCAAAGAGAATGAAAGGGATGACTATATGTTCTTGTATATCGGCGTTGAAAAGGGATACTCGTAAAACAATAATTTTTAAATTCCATTCGTTAGTATTTTTGGTTGATAAATTCATTAAATGCGTTTCTGAACTATGTAACTATAGTTTTACCTCATTGAACCTTTGTTCAACATAACACTAAATAATCATTATTCAACATTAAAATACATAGGAACTTCAGAAACTCAGCATAAATCAATATTATTAGAAATTATGTGCAACGAAGAGTGAATGTTGTTATGTAAATTTTTACTTCTTACTAAAATTTATATTCTCAAATAAATTTTAACTTACTTTAACACATCAATAAATCATACGAATCATTTTAACAGTGGTAGTGCCCGCTTTAACATCTTCGCACAAAAGGGCCGGCTTGCCCGGTGCAGTACCATGACTACACAGAAAACAGGAGTGAAGTAAAAGCAATTCCGCGTTTCGTCTGATGACTGTGATACCGAAGGCCTAATTTTAGTCCCTTTCCCTTTCCACCCTTTTCTTAAGAGGAAAGGATGGGAAGGAAAAAAGGATTTGACGGTGAAGGAGACGCATAGGAAGAGGAAATGTCCTATTCATGTGCGTCTCCTCCTCCGTCAATTAAGGGTACGCAACGCATCTGCAATTGCGGATGTTTATGGGCAGCGGTCGCTTTCCATTTAGATGGATTCAGGTTGCCGCTTGCTCGTTTGCCACCTTATTATTATAAAATAAGAGATAACGAAAACAGTAGATAAAACTCACAGTAAAATTATATACAGAAGTCGATTAATATTATTATTCGAGCAGTATTAATTTAAATATAATATTTAGGTCAGTTGACGTGACGTATCCAACAAAGTTCCTACGCAATCTGCCGTGCACTGCCGAGTCAACATAATGGATGAGCATTGCATTTGGCGAACGCCCAAAATTTACTGCTAGAAACTGTACCACGCCGCACGTATGTTGCGAGTAATAGATACGGTGTATATAATGGTAGCCAGGAGCCAATATTGCTGATATGGGAATAAGTTTATTTCAAACTAATAGCTCCGTAGTAGAGTAATATTTCAATAAATACCATTTACAATGCACTGGGAAAAGCAATATGCTTTATTGTGTAAAGAACCTTTCTGCCTTCGGTAGAATTTAATATAATATGTACTTAATTTTGTAACATCTGCCATCATTTTTGACATAAATCTCCAGGTAACATGCACCCATTCAGCAATGCAGATTCTTTTATGGAATTAGATTTTTTCAATTTACATTCTACTAGAGAAACTCGGAATTCCTTGCATTGCCAGTCAAAACATCTTA